GGGAAGGGATACTCTTCTTTAATAAAATCTCAGGGATGCCAGAAAATTTTTTTTGGGGAAAGGAAAAACTTTTTTTAAAAAAAAAAAAAAGGCTTTTTTATCTTCTGCCTTTCAATAAATTTAAGAAATGTATTAAAGAAAAGCTGTGTAAAAAGCCTAGGTCAACGATTATCTAGGCCAGACAGGCTGCTTCTAATTAATTTGCGATATTTTTTTAAAATATGCTTATATTAAAAAAAAAGGAGAGAGGTTTTTACGCCCGGTTTTCTCTCGGCCTACACCCACTGGTCCTTGGTTGATAGGGATGCCTACTTAATTTTGAATAAGATAGTATCCTCCCATATATTTTTTTTTTGTTAGCCGCCGGGGGCCGGGCCTACAGAGCTGGTGTGTTGAGTCACGAATGATAGATAGATACTCAGCTAAAGATTGGAATTTAAACACACAATTTTTAATTGTTGGGGTGACACTTAATATTTTGCCGTAGAAGAGTGTTTCGGTACCGATGCTAAACTGCTAAAAAATTATATAATTTTAAGCCACAATTAAGCATGATTTTGATTATACTTATTACTACATATATATATATGTAGGATATAGGAAAATAAGATAAAGTAACTCAAGACACTACACTAGTTTTTAATCTTACCTCTAGAGGTCCTCCACAAACAAAATGGTTTAAAATGATTAATCGGGTCCCTTAATTATCTTAGACTTGAATTTATTTATTTTTTTGACTTAATATTTTGCTATTGTACCGGCACCGATGAAATGGTATCTAAAAATATGTTTCGATAAAAAAAAATTAAATTAAGATGATTTTTGATTAAGTTTGCCTTTATAAATTGCGTCGTTAAATGTTTCCTGGCATAGGCCTTGCCTAAAAGTTTCAGAATGTCACGCTCTGCTCTTCTCCAGTGGATATTAATTTACCATCTTCCCACTTCCTCCTCTACGTATCACGTCGAGTACCAGTGCGAGACCTTATGGCTCCACATTTCTTGGGGATCATGAATCATATGCATTAAGCTTCGGTTATATATATTTCTAAAATGTGGACTTACTAAGATGTCGCAAAAATTTAACGCGTAAATACCATAAAATCATTTGACCACACATTGCGATATCTATTAATAGATTTTTTTACTCTTAGCGCAACCCAATAATCACAGCAGTTAACACAGCATTTATTTAAATTAGCTTTTAATTGAGCTCTTCAATGTAAGTAGCATCAGCAAAATATATCATTATAATTTTATTTATTAAAGTACTTTTATATGATTTCCTTATTTTTTTATGTTTCGAAACAATCACTTTGTATACCTATATTATTTTAAAGTTTTATATTGCGAATATTTATTGATAGCGAATCCTCGTAAGTAGCTCTCAGTAGCTTGGATTTGTTGTTGGAGTAATAATTTTAATATACAGGAAAATAAATTCTTTCAAATATATTATTATTTTGTGACAGTAATCAAAATAACGACATCTAATTGTTTGTTCAACTTATAAAACACAAATTTTAATCATTTTTGTGATTGTGTTTGTATTTTCTTATATGTACCCCTGTGCTTTAATCAGATTTTTTTTTTTTTCTTCTTTCTATAATATCGATACCTCCCACGTAAGTTGTTGTATCTCCAAAACTGCAAATTTACAGTAGCTAGAGCGTTTCAAAGATTCAAATTAAACCAAAATTTGCATTTATTGTTGCATCTTTTTAAAATTTCGTATTTAATGTAATATAATTAGTCTTCGTAACTAGGTTAAAACAAATTTTAAGTAATATGTCTATTTGGGCGGAGATTTGTTCATACAACATTTTACCCTCCGGAGTAGGAAGCTATACCAGGTGTTGCATCTGATACTAAACAACATTATACCGCGGCGCCCAGATAGCATCACTTGTGGTATATGATAGTTACAAATGTATACGTTGAAAAACATAAGTCTTACTCTGTTGTATGTAACCAATACGAGGCGCGAGCGCGTGATTCTACCCAACCCGCGCCCCGCGGACACACTGCATAGCACATGAAACCATATACTTGGTGTAATCCGTGCACATTTGAAAATTACAACATTTGCGTCTGACAAACTTAAAATAGTTTTGTTTTTTTACTTTGGCTGGATATAATGATCCATATTAGGATATTTTTCAGCAAATAAATACAACAACTTACGTGGGAGGTATCGATATAGTGTCGATTTTAATAAAACAAAAATAATTACATATTTAAAGAGACGGGCTGAGACTTACGCACTATGGAACGTCACTGGACACATTTGGCCTTTCGAAGTAGCAGACTTTAAATTGCTGATGGTACTTTGTTTGCTGATTACCTCCGATTGCCCGTTTAACCCAGTTTGCTTTTTACAGTCATTTGCATATGTTTAGTAGGTAGAAAAACAGTAATTAATCCAAACAATTTTCTTTTTGCCGGGTTTTATGCGCCCACATTTTATGACATCCAAATTGAATTGTCTAATTATAGACATTTGAATTCATAAAATCTGCTTGATTATAACATTATTTATTAGGAAACGGTTTACATACTAAACAATAATATCAAAATTATTGTGTGAATTTGTGTGTGTGCGTAACATGTGTGTTAAAATCCGTTTGATTTAGTGACATTAAATATCTGATAGTGTTTAAAATTATAACAAAACGCTCATTAGACTACAAATAGAGTTTGACAGAAAAAAGCGAACTTTACTGAAAAGTGTATTGGAATTATTCTATGACATACAGTGTTAATGAATATAACAAAATATTATAATAAGTAAGCAATTTTGGTCTAGTGGCAACGAGCGACTGTCACCCCTGAGGTCATAGGTTCGAACCCTGGCTGTACAACAATTGACTTTGTTCGCATTTTAAACTCACTCACAAGGCATTGATGAAAGCGGCATGTCTTACTTAAAAAAGTTGAAGGCGTGTGTCAGCTGCAGAAGTCTGATCTAGGTTTCATATTTAAAAAAACACGTCACGAAACATACAGACGTCTGAGACGTCTCTTCTTCATTTTCTATGATGTGCATGAAATTAAAAAAAATATATTTGTCAGTTGTGTTTTCATCATTCTAGTTTCATTTAAAAAATGATTTGATTTCTCAACACTAACTAGGATATTAAAAATTTGTACATACATTATTTATTATCATTTAAATTTTCATGAGTTTCGTAAATATATTTGTGATAATAATAATTAATTTATTGCAAGAATATGGTACAAAAATGTGTAAGGTGGTACAATCGTATGTTCGCATATTCTGCCACAACAATGGCGCGCAAATTTGTCTTAAGGAGTTTTACATTATTAGTCAAAGTCAATTCGTATAGTATTTGTATCGTACATAGCATAACATACTTTATTAAATTTATATCAACTAAACTGTCTCACGCAAATAATCATTTATTGAATAGTACATTTTTCCAAAAGTAATACTCGCTTTTTAAAGACTTGTCGGAAGATCTTTTAATTCCTTTGGTAATTTATTGTGTATATACATAGTTGATTAATTATAGATTTTTGATCCTATAAACCCAATAACTACGTTCCTTTCAATTAACATTGAAAAACAATTCATACAAGACGCGATAAAAATACCGAACAAATATAATAGATGTTTATTGTATATATGTATGTTATATATATATGTTGCTGTGCAGTGCCCTTGCGAGCTATGCGGAAGAATTTGAGAAAAATTTAACTATTTCTCGACACAGGTATGTTAGTGGTCCCACCCAACGTCAATTAAGTACTAAATACTGTAGATTAATAATGTTTTATTTAATTAATATCTAAAAAAAACAGATTTCTAAATGAACTTTCGTATTGTAGAAACCCCCCGAAGTATTTGTGTTATGTTCTCAACTGATTAGGTAAGATGTTTCCTGAAGGAGGCCTAAATAGCATATCGTCCTCAGATATAAAATAATGAAAATGATGGAAAAACAATAAATATATATTTTTTTTGTTTATATATTAGATTGGCCAATATCATGAAGGAAGTGACGTAAATTGCAAAATTCTTTATGTATCTAGCTGAAATGTATAAGTAACAATTCCTTTATATAAAGTTCAGTTTGCGTGTTGTTCCCCCGAAAATGTAAGTACGTGCTCCTATTTCACCATGCCTCCTGCTGATAGAGGACACATCTTTGTTTTTAATTTATGTTATTATTATTAATTACTTAAGATGTCATGTGGAACATGGTTTAATGGTTGCAGCTCCTTACATACATTGTGTAAAACAAGAAACTTGGCGATTAAATAAGAGTCGCGGAGAGTTTATTGCCACTCTGCTCTTCCGTTCGAGAACTGGCAGTAATTTTAAAATTAGATGCATTTAATATGTATTTATTTTTTTGACGTTCATAAGTGTACATTGTGTTACCTATATGAATAAATGACTTTAACTTGATTTGACTTATAGCCATCGTTTTATGTATATAATACATACCTAGTATAATATTATTAGGATAATATTATACTACTATACTACATTTGAAAATTTAAATTGTTTATATTTCCTCAATACTCATAGTTGCATACGTGATCATTAAATGTTCCGCATTTTTGTTAAGCTGAATATTTTGCTATATTATCTTTGATGACAATTTCTTAATTACAATTTAAATTGGTCTAGCATGTTTGACTCCAGGTAACGAATTCTAATTTGGATCTGAAGTTATCACCGCAGGTATGATTGATTTGCTGTTTTAAAAGAGTACCGAGAGTTTTTTACGCCGGCTTTTTCTCTCGGCCTACACCCTCTGTCTTCTTTGCCGATGAGTAGGGATGCCTTCAAATTTAATGACGTGGAATAAGTGATACATGTATCTTATGTTCCATAATAAACATTTTTTATTTTTATTATTTTTTTTTATTATTTTTTTTTATTATTTTATGATTAAAAACTTTATAAAGTTATATTTCTTAGTTTGTATATTATCTTTATTTCTATTAACAGTTGAAGTAACTTTATATGTATTAATTTCTTGGTATTTTTATTTGAAACCAGCTCATATTTTCGCCGGTTGGTTTTCCAATACCCTTTTCCACTTGAACACCTAGAAACAAAACAATTGTCACTTTGTTTTAAATATTATGAAATAAATTATTTTAAAGTATTATAAATCAAAACGGTTTCTATGAAATTCCGTAACCTCTCAATGTTGTCTATGCAGACATTATAAGTCTGTCTATATACAAATAATCTTAATATCTTAATAAATATGTACGTCAAATTCAAATAATAATCAATTAGTAAACTAAAAAGCACCTATACTTATCACAGAGTATCCTGGAGTATTACAGGATATTTAAATGGCATTGCAAGTGCACATGCAACCACCAATATTGATTGTCCATTTATAGGCATCAATAATTTGGGTAATTAAATAAATTTCATGATCTATCTTTTAAGGAAGCTATAACATCATAGAAGAGTGCGATACCCTACGAAACACTGTTTTAAATTGGTACAGTAGTACCAAAACTCTACAATTTCTAGGTTTTTTCATATAGCATATGAATAGTTATATAATGAAAAACAAACCTGAGTATTTGTGTTCAATTCTATTTTTAGTAAGTAAAGTTAGGTGCAAAATTATATTAATATAAGTAATTAATAATTAATAATAATTATAATAATTTAAAACGGGCAATTATTAATAATATTAATAATTGCCCGTGCTTCATTTAACACTCTTTTTTGAAAAAAAAATACCGATAACTGTATTATGTATTGTTTGTACCTTTTCTTAGTAATCCCAATAAATCATTTAGATTCCCCACCGTTTGTTTGATGTTAACAAAAGGCACTTGCTTGACTTCATCATGAAACTCTGTAAATAGTGTAATTTTCGCTATTTGTTAGTTTTCACAGTCCAAGTCGTCACCCCTAAACATAATTCGATAGAAGTCTTTCTAATATATTCTATAACATTAGCTGTCGACGACCAGTCACTCTCCAAGCGGCTCCATCCCTTGGCGTTGCGTAGTGCTGCGCACCTCCACTATGTGGTACTAGCCACTCAAATATTTCCGAATCACTTAAACTTCAAGAAAAGAGTGTACCAAGTGTTTGAAGGCTGGTTGCTTCTGGCAATGTGAGTGTCCATGGGTATCACTTAACATCAGATGAGCCTCCTGCCCGTTTTCCCCTTGTTCTAAGAAATAACTAAAGTTTCTTATAGCTTAGGTTCAGATAAAAAGTAACTAAAATCGATAAAGTATTAATGATAAGTAAGCAATACAATTTTAATTAGTTATTGAGACATTGTAATTAATTTCTGTAGGAAAGTTTTAAAAATTCAGTGTATATTACGCAATTAGTGATCGAGGTCTTTTAAAGAAATAATTGATTTAAACAAATAATATGTTTGCAATTAAAACCTCTGCAATAATTAAAAAAGGCCACATGAAAAATAATTATTTATCTACTCCAAAAGTTGTATCAGGGCTCATCGCTATACTATCTACCATTAGCAAAAAAAATGTACAAAAAACTGTGTTCAAATAGTTTTAACTTATTTAATACTAGATAGAAATATATCTTCATGAATTAATTTGTACTTAAATTGCATCAATATTTATAAGAATTATCACAAATGTATAGCTTAAAGATTTGCATGAAATGAAGGATGCATATCGATCTTCTATGGTTTATGATGTATTCCAATTATAAATGCCTACGCCCATTTGATTCGTCATAACTGCCTGAACCATAAAGGAACAACAGTATTTTCAACAGTAGCTAAAATGACCGGTCAAATCTTAAATTAGTTTTATTTATATATAAACTTACTTGTATGTTTCTTTTCAAAGTCATCAAAAACTTTCTTTAAATCGCTCATATACACGGGTCTATCTTTGACCGCTAAAAGTAAAAATAAACTTTTTATAAATATTCAATAATAAAAAATATACAATAAATTGCTTAGTAAATGCGAAAATAAAAACTTATTAAACTAATTGAAGGTGTATAAAAAAACTTATATATCTGGGTTAATTTTAACCGGAGAATATAATATAACCGAATAGTCATAGAACATTTTTATGTAAAATTTACAAAGTTGTAGTTCTACACTTTAATTTTGATTTTTTTTTCTCTTTTTTTTTTCTTTTCTTTTTTAGACAATTCACACCAATTGACCTAGTCCCATGCTAAGCTGGTGAAGCTTGTGTTATGGGTACTAGGCAACGGATATACATACATATTATAGATAGATAGACATATAAATACATATTTAAACACCCAAGACCTTAAGCACAACAGCAAATGCTCATCACATCGATGTTCGTCTCAGCCGGGGATCGAACCCGGGTCCCATGGATTCGCAGTCAGGGTTACTAACCACTAGACCAATGAGTCGTCAAAATTTTATCTAACTTATGCCGTTTTCGAGTAATTGCGAAAAACCACTTTAAAATGTGTTTTTCTACCCTTGCCGTTGCCGATACGAAATATTTTACACATTGTTTTTGTATCATTAAAATTACATTATATCAAAAATGCAAAGTTGAGTAACGAAATTGTAAATGTAAATTTACAATTAATTTAACTTCTTTTTTTTGACGTTCATAAGTGTACTTGTTTACCTATATGAATAAAGATATTTTGAGTTTGGGTTATTTAAAAAAAACATTTCTTACATTAAAGTTAAAAATCAAAGTTATTTCTAATAAAATTATTAATAATTTATTATACCTGATTTCGTTGAGGTTTCTAGATGGGTAGGGGTGGTTATAATTGAAGAGCTCGGAGGCAACACACTGGTCTCACCTTTAAAAAAGACCATTCTATCACATAATACATTACTGAGGTTACACGTTTGAATATGTGCAAATTAAGATAATATTATAATTAATGGCAATGCATGCCATAAGTTCAAAAATTTATCAAACAACCTTATGGCTTGGAGGCTGATAAGTGTATAAAAAATAAAATAGGTCAAAGAAACAAATACAAGTTGACGCCACTGGATTATATATATAAATATGTATATATGCATGTAGTTTCGCAAAAACTTACCGTACAGTGTAGTACAAATACATACTAAATTCTGGTTAATATGCCGTCAACTAAATTCCATTAATTATTATTTATATCATCACAATAAAACAAATCTCTTTTTTTTGTTATATAAATGCGTCCATGCGTCGGGTTGTCCCTAAAATATGACGAGGGGGCCGATGGCTGGCCATGCGTCATACTCGTGAACGGGTGCTACTTGTGGTGACTGGTCGTACTTGAATTCGTGTATGCGGTGATGTTAATTATTTCGACTATGTGTTTGCGTGTTGTTCCCACGAGAATGTAAGTGCGTGCTCCTATTTCACCATGCCTCCTGCTGATAGAGGACAAGTCTTTGTTTTTAATTTATGTTATTATTATTAATCACTTAAGATGTCATGTGGAACATGGTGTAATGGTTGCAGCTCCTTACAAACGTTGTGTAAAAAAAAACATGGCGATTAAAAAGAGTGGCGGAGAGTTTATTGCCAGTTCTTCTCTTCCGTTCTACGCCCTGGATTTGAGAACTGGCAGTAAATGTAAAAAAATTCACTTTGAAGAAGCTCTGAGAAAAATTACAATGAATTTTTAACCGTGAGCTTTTCTTGCAAATTTAAAAAAGTTGACCTTTATTATTTACAGAAGCAACGAGAATCTTTAATCGTCTTTTTAAAATTTATAATCATTATTATTTTACTACACCGCCCGTTGTGTATTCAGGCAAAAATATTTCAGGTTGTTCATATTTTAATTATTTATAAGTCTACAGCTACACATATTCTTATTATAATAAGAAAACACTTAGACAATATACAAAACCAAAACATTGTTACAAAAAATATCCAAAAATTTAAACATAAGTCAATTAAGTACATAAATAAATAAAAAAATAAAACTGAAATTAAATATTTCTTCTTACTACTGTTAATCAGGAATTACACCAAAAATTCCTCAGTCATTTTCTGTGGTAGTGTTTGAGTTTAACCGCGGGCAAGGGACTTCGTTGATATATATATATATGCAAAGACTCTCGAACGCCATCTTGTAAATTCCGTACCAGAACATAGTGTTCCGGTATGTTTAATATCAATTTAAAGTCAATTTAAGAGGGGCGATTTAAATTGCATATCGATTTTCAATACGAATGTTCCAACGCCCTCTAGTATCTGAATAATAATATCAGGTACATTATTATCAAGTTATTGCCAGTGTTGTGATAGTGTATTTACAGCGTATAATAAAGTTTGATTTGAGGAAAATTGATTTTAAATCAGGCTTAGTGTTTTCTAATAAGCGTTGAATTTGTTAGTTAAGACTTCATAAATCTGTACTATTATTATGCTGAAGAATTATATATACATATATTAATTATATATATTTATTAGAACGCTCTAACAGGTACCTACTCTCAGGAATTCGTTTGAATTGTACGAGTAATTTCTTGTATTTGACAGTCCACTAATGAAGGATGTCTATAGGCTACCTATGATCGAATTAAAGCGGGTGAGAATAGATTTGTATATTCTAGCAACACATCAAAAATATTTTAGAACAAAAACAAAATCCGGCTAAGTTCACACCTATTATTGAAGTGAAACTTCTTTATCGAGGTTGGAAAAAAATTTAGTGTAACATTTTTTCGTTACGCGTCACATTTTTCGGTTACGCGCCATGTTGCTTTTTGAAGTCAAACTTCTTTATCGGCGTTGGAATGAAACTTCTTTATCGACGTATGGGAGAAATTTTGTAGCAAATCGTCACGTTTTTCAATGATAGTAATAATTCTATTACAATTAATGAAATTCTATAATAATCTTCGTAGTAATAAGGTAAAATGAAATATTTGTATTCATGTCTATGATAATAAAAGCCTTTTGTTAAACTTTATCTAATTTAACGAATTTCTGTAAAGTTGCATATAGTAGATAATTTTTCGAAAAATAAGATCATAAAGAAGTTTCACTTCTTACGTGTGTACACCTAGTACACGCACAATTTATTTTTATTTTATACTTACTTCGTCGTAGATACTGCTTTGGTACATAATTTGAGCCATCAATTTCCAACTGTACTTCAACTTGTTGATTAGGAAATAATTCTGAAATTTTAAGACTTTATTAAGGTTATTTAATAATCCTATTAGTTAGTGTGATACGTTAATAATAATAATTATTCCAAATAAAATAGTGTTAAAGTTAAAAGCTATGTGTTATCGAGAGATGAATAAGCGCATACAGCGATTTTTTAACCAGTGGGCAAGGTTATTACACACAATAAGTACTCGATTGTAGGAAAGAAAATACCGTCAGTTATACTTTTCTTATAAAAATGCTATTTTACTAAAAAATATACTACCTGAAAGTTTGCTTATTGGTTTTAAATAGCTCTCCAAAACTCCCCCGATTTCGTTGGTTATCGGAATATTTTCTGAAATTTGATTGATACTTATATAATTTTATGTTACCAAAAACATTTTCATTAAAAATGTTGCGAAGACAAGGCTATAGCAGAGATCACGCTGTCAAAAAGTTATTATATCATTAGGTTTGATCACAAGTTCCATTAGTACACAAATTCACAAAAAAATAAATTTACTTACGAAAGCGGTACACACAAACACATTTTTTAAATAAAATAATATAAGTTAAACAATATAGGAATGCACACATTGCATCGAATTGGCAATAAAAATAAATACGTTTTTCACTATATAATTTAAAATTATTTTACAAAGAGTTAACTTAGGTTTTGTGGTAATAAGAAATGTTGTTATACGGTTCCTGGGTCGTCGGGGTGCTTTAATATAAATAATAGAGGTTTTTATTTTTAATCTATACTAACCACTCGCGTTCAACAATAGAATATAAGCGAAATAATGAAATGTTAATTGCTATGTATTGAATGAATGCGATGTAACCGTTGAAGAGAGTGCCTTCGTCTGTCTTTAGCTATTTAGGAAATCGCCACGCTTATAAAACTAATTAAGGCTGAGTGAGCAAAATATACAGCCTTGGCTTATACAGTTAAAAACATATTATCTTGTTTTTATTAAAATAATTATAAAAAATTTATATTGTTAATTACGATGAAAAATAGAACTGACCAATTTTTATTACGTAAAATTAAAATAGCTCAATTAATTAAAACATATTTATTACAGTAAGAAATACAGATCTCTCTTAATCTTATTTATTAAAATGGCAGCTTGATTTTAAAACTCTACCACTCGTGATTCATCTTCTGTTAGATTGTTTAAATCTTCTAACAAGACACCTGTGAACAGTGCCATTATAAGTTTCCAAACTCAAACCGTTTTTTATGAAGCTATTTAGATACGAGTAAATAATTGACAAGATTCTAACTTTAGTTACGGAGAGTAAGCAAGAACTTGACATAAATACCTTCATTAATAATCTCCATTAAATCGCCAATATTATTTCCATTTTTATTCAGGCTATCGGCAAGAATTATGTTTTCGTCATACATTGGACTGTCGATGACTTGTTCTTTCGAGTCCAATGTTAGAACTGAAATTTTCAAATGTATATGTATAATGTGTATTGTTGTAAAAAGTCTTTTAGAGCAAGGGGCAAATGGGAAGGAGGTTCACCTGATGTTAAGTGATACCGCCCGCCCATGAATTTCCCCAAGTAAAAAAAAATTTGCCGCCCATAGACACTCTCAATGCCAAAGGGCTCGCGAGTGTGTTGCAGGTATCTTAACAATTGGTACGGTCTCTTTTCTTGAAGGACCCTAAGTCAAATTGGTTCGGAAATACTTCAGTGGACAGCTGGTTCATAGTGGTAGGGCGGGGCAAAAACTGCCTTAGAAAACGCTCAGTTGTGGATGTTGAGGTAATACGAAAATAGGTCTTAATTTCTAATGGTTATAACTTTAACTAATTTTTCGTTACACTGTTAAGCCAATGCATTTCATTCGATAGTTAGATCTCAGTTAGTTTTTATCTCTTGAAACCGACAGGAAAAACTATTGTCTATAAAAATATTACATTAGACACAACACTTCCTTAAGACCCCAGTAAAAATACTGCAACATACTTAATGTTAATTGGCATAGGTGTAATTAAATCATTAAGCTTATATGAGGGTAATAAAATCTCTAACATGCAAATAAGTGCAAATAAAAACGCACACAGACACTATTTCAAAACTTGACATTTAAACTAGTACTTTTATCGTTCAATTAAAATGTTTAAAGTAATTATTTGCTATAAAACAATTTAATCAGCGGAATATCTGGAGTTGATAACGGCGATTTTGACGTCGTTAATTCAACTGAAACTTGATTTAAAATGAGAGCATTTATCGCGACATGCATTATGCATTTCGAGTGAAATTGAAAGTAGAAATAAATACGGCTTTCAATGCGGTTTTGATAGAAAATCTATTGCACATATGCCGCACATAGGTATAGTATATAAAATGCTGCTACACAGATTGTTTACATACAATTTAAAAGATAACAACTGACGCTTCAACTTCTAACTAATTCGTGATCTTTATTAACACATACTAACCTTCTTGCAAAATTTTCCTTTCTTTGTAATCCTAGTGTTACTAGAACAAAAAGTCTTCGTACCTACGGCTCGCTTATCTGCTACTTTTAATGGACCAGTGAATAGGTTATCTCCCTCTTACAACTTAATTACTAACATTGATAAAAATATTGATATAATTTACAAAAATTACCGTAAATGCTCTTCGTGAGGTTTATATTTAGTTTTAGTTATTTTTTTGTTGTTTTTATTTTATTGTTGATTGTTTAATTTTTCCCGTTGCTAGCTTGCTTATTTGCAAATTCGTGACGTCGTTATTGTATAATTTTATGCATACACGTTGTTTTATAAATAAATAAATAGGCAAGTATACTGTGAAACACGGTTGACTTTTTAGGTCTAAGGTCTATGTTTTCTTTCATCGTATTAAAATGCGCATAATTAGTCAAATACATCGGGGGACATTAAAATATTATATAATATGTTTTAAATGCTTTACTGACAGTAGTAATGACTGTAGTCTCTCGCTGACAGTTACTGTGAAACACTCAAAGGGCGAGTTATATAAATAAACTCTTAATACACGTTAAAATGTGTAGCACTCGGGTAAACCAATTACAATTTTGTTTACAATATTAACTTATCGCTTGACTTGTTTAAGCTATCGCGGAATATGGTTAAAAGGAGTATTAAGAATATCCATAGGGCATAATCGGGCGTCATGAGCATACTCCACATACCTACACACTTTCACGTGCTTACCCTCACTTTTACACCATCACACAACACAGCCAAATTAGGTGTTTCTTAGTTAAATGTGTTGAACAATTTTTAGGTAAATATTATGTATTCACCTCTGGCTATATTTTTAGGGTAATTGTTTATTATTACATATATAATTTTTGTTAGCTAATTTTTATTACGAAATAAATAAAAAGTGTATAAAATGTACAATGATAATCTAATTATTATTACTGTGTAGATATATTGTGAATGCTCTAGATTTATTTTATTGTATAGTGGATAATATAATAAATATTATTTTTAAATTTGTTAACAAAAATCTTAAAAATTAAATCAGTCATTTTTGCATCAATTTAGCACCAAGTGCCTATGACAAAGTATTTCTTAGTAAAATTAACTAGACCCTATTTATTCTTTTCACTGATTGAGTTCTAGAAATTATTAAATCAAAAGTCGAATAAAACAGTAAAAAATTACGACTAATTTGGTAAAATTAATTAAGATTTTCTAAGTTGCCCAGATGGTTTAGATAAACTAACGACCGTTATTAAACCCATATTTTCCTTTCCATGTGTATTAATATTTATTTCTACAAATATTGCAACAGTTATACAGACATTACTGATAATTGATATCAAATAAGTGTCTATTCATTCACACAATTTATTAACACATTTTGTCTCAAATGACATAATGGTCACACATTGCTTACCTCGCGCACTGTACACCTGCGCGTTGACACAAAACATTGCCAGCAAATAAATTCTCATATCTGTGTTGTAGTTAAAACAAAAATTTGGAGAAATCAAAAAGTCTAAATTTTTTTGAAGTCACACTACGCATATGTGTTTTTGTTTTATTTACTAACCAACAACATGCAACAAAGACCGAATTTCCTGAAATAAAATTAATATTTATATATGTATGTGATAAGTCTACATAATTTACATACATTTTATATATATATGTAAATATAATAATAATATATATATTATATATGTAAGTTTTAGTACAAACGTGAAAACGAGGCTGCACTTTTGCTTTATAAAGCAATACAACACGATGCTGACCAACTAAGAACAGTATAAATCATAGAAAGTTTTGTGTATTAAGTATAAATAAAGAAATGAATCAGTGGCGCTAAAACCTTTTTAGGTCTGGGCCTCAGATTTCTGTATCTGTTTCAGGATCATTTGTCAATCTAATAGGCAAGTAGGTGATCAGCCTCCTGTGACTGACACGTCGACTGTTTGTGTCTAAAGTAAGCCGGTTTTCTCACGATGTTTTCCTCCACCGTTCGAGCGAATGATAAATGCGCACATAGAATGAAAGTACATTGGTGCACAACGAGGGATCGAACCTACGGCTGACATTGTTCGCATTAGATATAACTATGATAGGTAAATATTAGGACAGAAACTGCATCGCATAAACTTTACATATATTTTAAAGTTTTCAAATAAATAACGCTTAGTGTTCATAAAACTCTTTGGGTTCTCACTCTATTAACAATAAATCTGAATATATTACTGTTTCAATTGAGTTAGACGAAAAAATTACATAATTGTCACTTGTAAGGGATTAGAACTAACACAAAAAGTCCCCAACACACACAAAATAACATATTAATACCCTACACTATTATACATTTTGTTGAGGGTAGTGCAAAAAATTTATAAAAATTATATATATATATATATTACCTTACGATATTTTAAATAAAGAACGCCTCCAATTTATCCGTAACACAAGATACAGCATTGCATTTCAACTTTTTATCAGAATCGTGTTCTGTGCGATATAATATAGAATTTAATAAGAGAATCGATAAAGTTTATTGCGGCTAAAATTATTGTATTCGTGAATCTCGATAGGTTGGTGGTACCTAATATTGTTCTTATCGGAGTACATTCTGGCGACAATCGTGAGGTAAGCATGTGTGATGACGGCAAGATTTGGTTACTGTTTCTAGTAATTTAATTCAATTTACGTTCTTGTACAGTTTTAAATGTTATCTGTGTATAGCCATAGACTGTTATTTAGCGACCGTCTTTGTAAGTATTTTTCGGACATCATTTGATTCTTCTGTAATAATAGTTTTCTGGTCGCGGCCGTATGTTGTAGGGACGACACCGCTTTTCATATTTTTGTATGTCAATGTGTTCGTCCTAATGTGGTCCAATTAAATTTATTTAAAGACCGGCAACGCACTTGCGAGGCTTCTGGTTATGATGACCTCTGCGGCTCGAACCCTCTGTCTCCTCATTAAGGGCTAATGCTAGCAGGGCGCGAGGCAGCACACCACCCGAAGGGGGCACACGCGCCGAACAGGTCTAAACACACCCTCGCGAGGGAGGGTGTAACATGATCCGATGATCCGTGAGCCTTCTGGTAATGTCAGTGTCCATGGCTGCCCCCCATGTATATCAGTTAATATCAGATGAGCCTCCTGCCCGTTTGTTTTATAAAAACAAATATAATTCTTTAAGTTAAGTTTATAGTAAAAGTTAAATTAACTTGAATACTAAACAGTTTACGGTATAAAAATTAGGCCATTACGCAGTCAAGAAGTCTATTGGTAATTTATGTTAGTGCAACGGAATGTCCCTAATCTAACAAAAGTATCTTACAATGTAATTAATAATTAATCTTATTATGTTTCCTTTTGTCTACTTAGAAGTGTGCATCAAGGCTTGTGTGGGATCATAGGACCAACACGATAGCCATAACATTACTGCCACTGGGTGGTGAACCCTAATTATCAGATGTATTTTATGGCATGCCGTATATGCTTTATTAATTTATGTCGATTACTGAATTATGGGTTTTTACTCTTACTAAGCTGATTAACGACAATTTAAATTGTTAAGTTAAATCTTTAAAGAGGAACAAATCACTTGATATATTTTATTATAATATTCTCATAATGTTAAAATAAATATAATATTTCCATTTCTAGATAACTCATTAAGGATGTTGGTTGTTTAGTTTGATAAATGTTTAAAGTCCCAATCCTTAATAGTAATGTTGTTCACACAAAGTAATTACTAATTATTATAAAGGACCTCCTCCGCGATTGTAAGTCAATACATTCGTAACTATAATCACGTAATACTAGCAGTAAGCGACCACGAATGTCTTTTGTTATTAATTAAATACTGTAATAAGTAACACACACTTATTACAAACCGTGTGTACCGAATCAATAATAAATTTTTAATATATTAAAAGGCTATTGTAATCAAGTCTCTCACTCCAAACATTATTATGATACTTCACTTTTGCTTTTGTTGTTTGGAAGACATCGCTTAAAGGGTATCACCTAGCACTCCACCTTTAATTACCGTGTTTTGATAATTGAAGTCAAAATAATAGTTTATAATTACTTTATTTGACGAATACCAAAATAAAAATAATTTGGAAAGGTAACAGTCACTTCTTAAAGCTTAAAAACTAAATGTAGCGCAGCTTTTATTATTAAATGCACAGTACATTTGTGTACCTATTGTATGAGATATCAGTCTAGCACAGCTGTTACTCATAACATGTTGCAAGACATGCATATTCATACAAACTTTCAGTACTTTAACTAGGACCACCCCGTTATAAGCACGATTAACTCATTTAGCTGACACGGCGCATGCCGTTATTAACGCAAAACTATATGACGCAATATGATGGTAAGAATTCTAGCGAATAACGCGATTTCATTTGTCAAAGTTTTATCCACTTGTCGTTTTCCAATTTCATGAGTTCTATTTACGAATCTCTGTGTAATGCGTAATAGATTCGACAAAGCGAACTAAGATAGAGAGCTAAAAAACTTCACATATATTACATTTAAAAAAACGTTTTCAGTTCACGCAACTCTTTATTATTACTTGGCTATAAAGGGTTCAAATATAGGTGCTTTCCAAACTTTTTAAATTTGTTTTAAATTTCTATTTATTAATTTTTAATTATTATTATTACGTAATAGGTTAAGAATATTGTCAATATTATATTGTCAAATTGTATATTTGTGTGTTGAAAATAAAAATAATAATTGGCTTTTTATTGTTATTAGTTTATATATTGTAGTTTATTTATAATTAATAATAATTAGTTTATTAATATTAATAATTGTCGTGAGTTAAATGTTACTTTATAGTTTATATTGAATTTAACTTTTATTGGATAATTGGGGTTTTGCAAATGGAAAATAATAATTTCATAATAATAAAATTTTAAAGCCCAAGTATTGAATATATTTTAAGTATTTAAAAACGCTCAAAGACTTCGACAACGTTTCTCAATAACAAAAAAATCCTTCAAACATTTACCTATTTCCTTTCCAAAAAATGTTTTCTTTAGTCTTAATTTTATATTTATCAAACAAAGTAATTATTACCATTTTTTCATTTTTGACTTAGATATAAAATATTTTTATTAGCGATGTCTTCCAGACGTCCAGAACAAAACGAAAACGTTATAATTTAAAAAAATATTCTTTCAAGCGCATTAAAAATTGTCGTAAATCATTTATAAATCACTCATAGTTAATCGACATAAATTAATAATACCTTCTATATGCGCAATGCCATAAAATACATCTGATAATTAGGGGTCAGGCACCACCCAGTGGCAGATACCATGTTATGGCTATCGTTCACAAGTGGATCCAAAACAGTTCTAGGCGAGATCGTGCTGCCACTTGACCTCTTATGTAATCCATACTTGAGGTACAGGAGTACGCGTGCCAAAGCTAGTATATTAGATTTAAGTTGCTTAACGAGCTTCAAGTAGAATTGATATCTTTTGTATCGCACACATTAGTAGCCATGATTACCATTTGCCTCTTCACCAAATTGTTTTTATTTTAATAAACGTGAGCATTGCTGGTCTAGTGGCTTTAGTGTGCGACCCTCATACCTGAGATCGTAGGTTCGATTCCCGGCGAGGAAGACATAGTGAGGAAACCGGCTTTCCTTAGAGCCAAAAAGTCGACAGCGTGGGTCAGGCACAGAAGGCTGATCACCCCCTTGCCTATGATTGACTAATGATCATGAAACAGATACAGAAGTCTGAGGTCCAGACCTAAATAGGTTACGTCTCTAAAACGTCCAAATGCGACAGTCCCAACGTTTTTGTATGCAAGTTTGATGTAGTAATATTCGTAGCGCTGATAACAGCAGCTGTACCAATTCCAAACTTGCAATAATGCAAGTTTGGAATTGGTACACAAACCCAATCGTTAGTATCGCTATTATAAGTTCAGAGTGAACTCGCTGTTCCTGATATTGTATTTAAGCAAAAACCTCTTTAATAGTAACGATAAGTGAACTGGTTTTTTACCGTGTCATATCGTCTTATTTCTCTTTTTTAATTTATTTTATTATTATTTATTACCAAGGATGTCATGTGGAACATGGTGGAATGGTTGCAGCTCCTTACAAACATTGTGTAAACCAAAGAAATTTGGCGATTAAAAAGAGTAGCGGAGAGTTTATTGCCAGTTCTTCTCTTCCGTCCTACGCCCTTGATTTGAGAAATGGCAGTAAATGTAAAATTAAAAGCATTTAATGAATATTTCTTTTTGACGTTCATAAGTGTACATTGTGTTACCTGCATGAATAAATGATTTTTGACTATTTGACTCATGGAAATTCCTGTAGTTTAGTGTAGGTATACACACGAAGACATACCTTACTTAGCAACTTAGGATAGACTACTTTAGCCAAATTCAATTAAATATACATATAATATCTAACTGAGATGTATACGTATTTTA